TGTATATATATATATATATATATATATATGCAGTGCTTGAAGTGGAAAAAAGAAGTGCCGGTACCCCCCTCCCCCACACTATTTATTTATTTATTTAATTATTTATATTAAATAAATAAGTTATTTTTAATAATTCACAATGTATGTATAGTGCCACAATCAATCAATTAATCAATCAATAATTAAATAAAAGTTTTCAATACAAATTAGCACAAGTCAAGCTGCAATACCAAACAGGACCACAGGGATCACCAAAGACCACTAAATCGCCTGCCTTTACTACTATACGGATCCATTCAGAATCGCTAAATCTCTGACCACTGCATAATCAGCGTTCACGCTTGCTTTTAAGCCAAATACACACTGAAAAGAATAATTTTACTGACATCTGGACGAAAGTCACTATTCTCTCCGCAATCGCTGATGAAATCAGCCGTGTTTTCTCTACATTAGCGCTGTTTTGAACTTACTGTTTGAATTCGTTTACTGGATCCTTGGACTTTCCAGGAGTTTACCGGTTTAAAATGATGTGATCGCAAAAGCCTGCTTCTTTTCATTTTAAGATATTATTTTCGTTATAAAGTACTGATTCAAATTTGTAATCAATAATTCATTATTATTCTGCTACTCTGCGCGCCTCCCCTGACATGCTCTCGCACCCCACACACTCTGCTTGCTTTCATTCACGTGATTGTTCGAGATGAGAGGTGATCCCGCCTGGGTAGTGTGATTTATATAGTGTCCTTTCTAATCATATATGGGATCATATAATCACCCAGACCCTGATGCTTTTACTCAGAGTACCGGCAACATGTCAAAAGTGCCAGTACGCACAAAAAAGTGCAGGTACTCTAAAGGCTAAAATATAGAAGTAAGGAAGATGAACATGGTCTATCTCACCAGCAGGAGTCTGTAGATACCTGACGAGCGTCTGGTTGTGCAGGTCCCAGACCACGATGTTTCCGTCACTGCAGCAGGAGAAGCAGACCTTGTTGTCGGGACTGATAGCCAGAGCATAGCAGGCAGGAGCCGAGGACGTTAATTCGGCCTTGATACGTGGAGTGGGCGTGGCCAAGTCCCAGATTGACAGCGTGCTGGCCTCGCCTCCGACTATCAAAGTCCGCCCATCTGGAAGAATCTTACATGATCGGATGTAGTTGTCTCTATTCTGATTGAACGAAAGGGAAAACACTGATTTAATCCAAGTCACCATTTTCAAGTCAAGTCACCATTATTTATATAGCGCTTTTTACATTGCAGATTGTGTCAAAGTAGCTTACAGTATTAAACAGGGAAATAGTGTGTCAAAATAGTGTGCCGCTCTCCTCTTGCCAGACGAAACCAGCAGTTTAATTCTTTAATTCTAATTTTAACTAGGGATGTTCATTTTACCGTTTAACCGGTTAACCGACCGTAATAATTTTGACGGATTAATACAATCAGTTAAACAGTTTAAAAAGTCATTTAATTATTTATTTTTTCAGTAATTTATCAAAATATTTAAAAAGGTTGCTGCATGGTTAAAATACACTACGCGTATAAAAAAATTTTTTTTTTAGGGGGAAAAAACACAAGTCACATTTTATTGTTTCATTCAGAAATAGGCCTAATGCCGATGCGAAATGTTTACAAACATTATAATAAACACTGTAAATATAGCTAGGCTATTTTAGTTCCCCTCACTCCACAACAAATCCTTTCAATTAACAGTATTTAGAAAAGAACAAGAATTAAAAATATAAGAAGCTATAGCTAAACGACAAGCCAAAACGAATTTAGTCTAAAACGAAACTGAAACCAATGTTGGGTCTCTCATTCAATACAAAATCAAATGTTTACGTATTTGCGATGTATTTGAATGGCAAATTATTATTTATTATGTAGCCTAGGCTTCACACGCGTCCAATATCCACGTAAAACAAAATGTTTTGCATAACATCACGGCGGTACGGTGATAACGCTTAACGGCACAGAGTTTACTACATATTTTTTACTACATAGGTTTTTTCCATATGTTTGACTGACTGTATTTTATTATGATAATGAACAGGCTGCATTGTTAAGGTAGCAATACTTAACTGTGTGCGCGCATGCGGCGCCGGCACAATCATTTGAATTTTTTCCTTCTAACAGTGGAAGCAGCTACTCCTTTTAGTCCTAAAGATTATCGGAATTGTAAAAGGTTTGCTTTTATTTGGGTACATTCACAATAAAAACAAATCTTTGTGCTTTTGTAAAATAAGCCTAAAAATGAACCGAAACTCTGCATACTAGGCTACTTGTTGCACAAGTACGTTTTTCTTTCATTTTCTTAATTTATTATTTAAGTAAAAATATGTTTCTCGTATAGGCCTATTTATTCGTTATATATATACATTATTATATATATATACATAGCCTAGCTTTATTATGTTTTTCTCCGCTCGCAGAAGCGCTGCAGGTGCGTGATGTGATGTGATATGATGCATGTGAATCCTCATGTTCTGTTGTTTGCTGCTTTTTTGCGCATGTAAAATAATCCCCGGGAAACAAATGGTTAACGGTTAACAATCGGTTAACGGTTAACAATCGGTTAACGGTTAACAATCGGTTAACGGTTAACAATCGGTTAACGGTTAACAATCGGTTAACGGTTAACAATCGGTTAACGAGCGTCGGTTGTCGGTTAGGAAAAATACCCGAAATGAACATCCCTAATTCTAACCCAACTAGGATGGAGAGTACCAACTACAAGTAGAGTTTAACGTGACGCAGATCTCACCAAACAGTCCAGTTGGGCCATTGGACTCTTGCTGCCTGGTTGGCTGATGTCCCACACTTTGACGCAGCCTTTCCCGCCGGTGTAGACGTGACGCGTGGAGGTGCTGATGGTCACCGCGCACACCACCTCTCCATGACTGAGGGTGTGGATCTGACGGGCGTGACGTGGGATGCCAGGGCCGAGGAGGGCGTCAGGAGGGAAGGGCACCGGCTGCATTTGACCATCTGCGCTCACGTGGAACGAGTAAGCACTGGGGGTGTAAATAAGGTGGACGTTAATGCGATAGATAGTGAATTCAAAAAAGGAAAGCTGCTGAACACAAAAGACATTTTGAAGAATTTTTTTGTGAGTACAATGAAAGTAAACTTTGGACCCCATTGGCTTTAATTGTATTGACAACAATTTCCCAAGGATCAGTTAGAGGTTGTAAAATGGTCATAAAAACGAAATTATGACTGATTTTGGTGCAATAAACCATGACTAACATAAGTGGATTTAAGTGGTAAAAGGACTTGTTTAAAATAAGAATAGAGGCTGATTCAAACCTTAAGTACTCAAGCAGTTTGACAACATAATTATGGAAAGTTTGCTTGTTTGTGTATGCGTCAGTGGGTGCAGCAATAATTTGCCATCTTAAGGATGTTTGCCTGAATTCAAGTGTTTTTCTCGCCTTAGCTGTCAGCGGGGGACTTGAGAGAGCATTGTATTACAGGCAAACAAAAACACTATTTTGGACTAACAGTCGATACATTGGCCATCGTTGTGCAACTCCATCCAAAAACCAAGGGAGGTAAAAGAAAGAGGAGTAACTCACGGCTTGCCACCAGAGGAGCCAGGCAGAGAGGAGGACAGCCCTGAGGGCCTAAGATGTGAACGAGATTCGTACGCTACCTGTGGAGGTGAGCATTCAAGCATCAAAATGGTTTCGCATAAACTTCTGTCAATTGTAAGAGATTCAGAAACACAGTCACCATAGGGCTGCGTGTGTAGGCACTGGCTGCAGCACTGATTTGGGGCGAGAGGGTGAGCGAGCCTCCGAAGCCACCCGGGCTGGCCAGCTCTCCGTTAAGCCCAGCGTGGGACACCAGCCCAAAGTGAGCCGGGTAAGAACCGGGCGTCATGGTCAAGGGACTCCGCAGAGCTACAGGACACACAATTAAACAATTATTTTTATTGAATTGTAGCATGTGTTCGCTGTAAACGCAAACAGACAATGTCTTACCCAGAGGGTCTGCCGAGGAGGCAGGTTTGTTGGCCAGGCGTAAACAGGAAGTGCTGGGCCCCGGTGGACCAGGGGTGAGAGGGTCATGGTGAGAGGGAGAGGAATTGCCTGATTTAGAGGAGGGCGACTGAGATTTTTCTGTCTGCAAACAGAACCAAAAGACAGATGTTATAATGTTGAATATGTAGCAACACTAATATAGATCCGCAGTAAATTTGTAGTATCCACAAAAAAGTATTCCCTTTTTTTAAAAAAATAAGATTTTGCTCTGCCCCACCTCAGACTTCAATCCATTAAATAAAATTCTACAACAATTTCAGAATTTTGACAATTTGTTAAACTGATATTCTATGTATTATTATAGTATAAATTGAACAATAATAATAATAAATAATAAAATTAATTTAAAAATATTATTATAAAAAAATATTAAACATTTGTTATTTAATTGATTTAACTTTTAAATAATTTATATACAATTTAGTTTATTACAAATGTATATACATTTATATAAAAATACGCATTCATATATCATAATAATAATGGAATAATACTTCTAATAATAATAATAATAATAAACATTTTTAAAATTTAATTTATATAGTTTATCATAAATATCATTTATATAATGGTTTATTTATATTATATCCCTAATTAACTTGCACATATAACTTAATGTAATCAACTGCAATCCTACAAAAATATCAAAATTTAGATTATTTGTTTAATCAATATTCAATACATTATATTAAAAATAAGTATTAAGAAAAAATGTAAAAAATAATTTAATAATAATAAAAATATTTAAAACTTTAATTTAATTGATAGAAAATAAGTTTATCAGTAACTACTAACCAACACTGTGTCCCAAACTAGACCTTGCATTAGATGAAATCTGCAAATATAGCTTAAAATCATTTTATTATTATTATTTTAATTTTAATTTTTATATTTATAAAATAGCAACAACAAAAAAACACACACACACAAGCTAAGCAATCTGTGTAATTAAAAAAAAAAAAAACTTCTAGGCTCTATTTAGCATGTTGTTCATGAAAAGTGCCACATATATTTTATATTAAAGAAAAAAAAAGTATTTGGACGCATCCTGGTTGTCAAAAATTAGTGAAGCATGTCCATAGTGAATGAGACGTAATGTGGGAAGAGAGTCAATTCTGGCATATTAGGTGTCTGAGAACAGTGGCCGTACTTGTGCCGTGTCCTTGTTTTTGCCAGGGGGTGGGCTGTGTGGTGGGGAGGCCGGAGGGGGACTAGGGGATCCTGGGAGCTCTTTCCTTAGGGTCGGGGCTCGATCCAAACCATTCCCATGTGGAGACAGAGGCCCACTGCCTACAGGAGAGGATGGCTCCTGAAAACACAGAGTGAAAGAGTTAAGGAGAATCAAGAGCATGAGGGCATTTTGCTTTCGTTCGGATATGTGAACTTTTCTTTTTACATTTTAGAAGGTGTGGCATGAGTTAATAGGTTTTGCGCAACATAATAGTGATCTTTGTTAACCTGGAGTTCAACAGAACAAGGTCTGATCCATTCATTCATATTTTTCATTATGCCATTCGTGTTTACTCAGTAGAAAATGACAAAACAGTTCTAGTTTAATCCTTAGTGTGCGATATTGCAGGAATTTAGATCCTTTTTATGTTTTTAAATGTGTTAATTATGCAGCGGGGTCACTTAATGATTATAAAAGCATAGCGCAGTCCTCGCTGACTCCAGACGCTCTGCAGCAGAAAACAATCCTGAATCGCCTGTGATATTATCAGCAATTACTGAATGAATGCAGTTTAATAAATATGAGTGATGTTCAATATTTGCCCAGTAATTGAGAAACAGAGCTGTAATGTTTTACCTTTGAAATGGATGATAATTACACAGAAATAATAGTAATAATAATGAATGGGAGTTTTTTTCAGGATGAAATGCATTTGTTGGTGCTGTTCAACAATCAAATACAAATATGTCATTAAGATTAAAGTCAGTGCAAGACTTGCCACCACAATGCTAGGGTGCTGTGGGTGTTTACTGTTCGGCCCAAAGTCTTTATTATATTCTGATCTCCAGTTATGGATTGGGTTGATACTCACAGGCAAAGAAGGTTATTGCATTTTGATTAATGCGTATGAAGACAATGTATTTTCACACCAATATGCTGAATGAATGAACTGATGAATTAGGCACAACGACCAGGAACATGTATTAAGAAAGTAAACCAGGTCAATTTTGATGTAGAATAACAAACCAAAACAAAACTTATGCAGCATTAGTAGAATAATAAAACAAAACAAAACACGAAACGAAACAAAACAAAAACAAGAAAGTAAATTGACAAAAAACCAAACCAAACCAAACCAAAACAAAAAACAGCATTAGTAGAATAATAAAAAAGTAAATTGACAAACAACCAAACCAAACAAAACAAATGAAAACAAAACAAAACAAAAAAACAAGTAAATTGACAACAAAAAACCCCCCAAAACAAAACAGAATTACCGTAGTAACAACAAAAAACCTTCACTTGAAATAAATAAAACCGTAGTAACAAAAATGTACATTTAAAAAAATCAAATCCAATCACAAAGTCACTGTGATTAAAAATAGGCTGTCAATTTAACACATTCATTTAATTTATTACATAATTTCCTACCCTCTAAGCAATTCAAGCTTGAAATATCATCATCATAAGACAATATGAACCATAATTTTAAAATATAGCAATAAACAATATATCTATTAAACCCAGTTATTGTAAAGTCTATTCACTCTTGTTTACCACAATGTCTTCATCTTTATTTGGGGGCTTTTATAACCAGTTATTGATATATGCAAATAATTGTATTAATTAATCAGAATAGCATTTGATTAATTTAAAATTAAATTAAATAAAAATAAAATTTAATTACAGTTTTCAATTAATGATGATTGACTTACATTAGTAAGTGCAGACTTTCACCAATGTTAATTTAACAGTGCATGTGAACTGACCTCATTTGAGACATCTACTACAAGATTGTCCTCGCTCTTGTCTCCGTCACTGTCCTGAAACACAACAGACAGGAGAAGGACAGTATTAGACGACACACACACACACACACATATACAGGCACAAAAATATATACCCCTATGGGATATTTATCAGGTACATACATGTACAATATTGCAGTGTCCTTTTTCTGCTCCCCGTCCCCCTCCCTTTGTGTCTAATTTCACCAATCACAGTAGGGGAGACCCCCCCCCCCCCCCCTCAACAACCCCTATGGGATATTCATCAGATACATACATGTACGTCCGATATTGCAGTGTCCTTTTACTGCTCCCCCGTCCCCCTCCCTTTGTGTCTGATTTCACCAATCACACCAACACCACCTTGTCCATCGCTCTCACACGGCTCACACTCATCTCACTCTCCTCTTTCGCCCATCTCTGGGAATCAGGGGGTGACAACGCACTTAGTTGCCATGGCAACTGGGCTTTGATGTGATCATGGCCTGATGTTCCTATTGCCATCACCCTATAGTGACATCATCCCCCTAATTATACCCGCATGGACGGTCACATCCGACTCTTCCCTACATGTGTGTTTGATAAATGCTTCACCTGATGCGCTGATGAGCTTCATGAACTATAATAAACAATTATACTATAAAAAGATTATACCTATACATTAGGCACAAGTTTTTATCAATATATATTCATATAAACGTAATAATAATATAATAAAACATAATATAATAAAAAGTATATATAAAAAAATATATAAGTATTTTATATTAAAGTGGTATAAGAATTATATAATTTTATATAATTTCATATTACTAAAATAGAATTTTTAATAGAATAAAGTAATATTTTATTTTTTATTTTTTAATTAAATTCTACATATTGATATTATTTAATATACATCTATTAATTATATTTAAAATTATAAATATTAT